CCAAACGCTTCAAGTCATTAAACATAAGTCAATCATAATGACTGTAAACACCCAACTCAGTAACACCGCTCAAAACAGAAAAAAGGGCAATTTAAGAAGAGGTCTCCACAATACACGCACAAAATAAACCAACCCGACTGAAGGCAGTTCCCAACAAAAAAAATCATTCCATGAGTCCTACAATGCAGAATACGCCAACAACTCCGTTGTCATTTTCTTACGATATGCAGCAATTTCGGTATCGTTCATATCTTGCACATCATGGCCCATCATGAGGAATTCAGCTATCTTCACTACAAACATCCCACAACTAGACCTGTTTCATGCCAAATCAGTTTAATGACCCAGTTCATATAAACACATTATGTTAATTACGAGAGACATTCATGCATTAACGTCTGTGTGACATACCCGTCATTCTGCTGGGGGCAGCATGACCCACCCTCAATCGCAAGGACACTGTCACCTATCGGACCTTCTTCCCGTCCTTCATACACTCCAAGCTTATCCATCAGCTTTGGACCTTTGGTAGAAACATCTGGATGCTTGGCTTAAATTGCTGTAGTTTCCGTTTCGAATCGCTTCTCCGCAGGCTTGAGTCATATGTTATGATTACCTTCTGCGTAATGTCCAGAACCAGCAACGTCCAATGGCTCCCCGTATTCAGTGGCATGTACACGAAATCTGCACCCTGCCATGGACGGTCGTACTCCATCTTTCCTCCTATGATTGTGCTCCTTATTGACTTATTCCGTATGGCTTGCTCAATTGTTAGTTCTTTCTTTAAATATCTATCACACAAAGTCTTCAATAATTCAAGAAACGGGGTGTCTGTCGTTGTGTACCTTTGCGCCAACCCAAACTCCACTCCTTTCATCCTCAGGTAGTAGAAAATGACATCAAGATGCTGCATTTTAAAATTGATTACATTTACATATGCACTGAACATAGCACACATAGTTTCGTATATAAATAATGGAATTAACATTACCGTATCAGAGAGCCACCCCCAAGGGAAATAGATCTCGTAGTACCAGCTTTTCTTTAAGGTGTCCTTCTCATCGTAGTGAATCTTAAACTCACTTGGTGATAGAACATCTTCATTTGCACAGTACCTACGCCCGGGCTCCTTCTTATGCTTCTTTAACAGACCTTTGTTCATGAACTCATCCACCTCCCTCAAATCGTCCTCACCTGGCATCTCAGTGGGGTTTAATGTGAATGGCCCCATGAAATCATCTCCGTCTCCACCGAACTCTACAGCATGGTCCATTACTATTCTGGCCTTTTTCCTTTTACGCCTGACTATCAATTGGTCAGGAGTGAACCGCTGTGGACACTTCAATGGTCTTTTCCCCCGATCTTTCACTTCTACTGGTCTGTCAACACTTATTGGTTCTTCATAGACCTGTGTTACACTCACAAAAAATGTGAGTCAAAAACGTGTTGCTTTCATAACCTCTGTCATTCAAAACGCAAAACTGCCTTAAACATCACAGAGTACATTCAAACTCATTACAAGGCACGTTTACAGTACATTTCCACAGCCGTGCACATACAAGGTCCTTAACAAAATACACAAACAGATTAATGACTAGCAAAACGAGGTCAAAACGTTTCAATTATCACAACGCTCACCCTTTACAAATTGGCTAACACTCATCACACAATGAAGTGTCCACCATCCCCTCACATTACTCCACCGCCCAGTCATTATACAACTTCAATTCTTATAACAAAAACAAAAAAAACTACTCCAAACAACAATTTATTAGGTAGTCGTATTTACAGTACATATCACTCAACCCATTAGGAAAGAACATAATGCACGTACCACTATCTGTGTGCATGGTTCCTCAATGACCACTGCTTCCTCAGCACCATCGCATACAATCTCTTCATCCACCTCCCTTACATTCTCACAGCAAATTTTCTCTGGCGTCACCTCCTGTGCCTAACATTCAAAACATACTACGAAATCAGGACATGTAAAGATAACATCACCTATGAACTACCTTAAACCCCAACCAAATTGCAAATCAGACATTAACCACCTGAATTTTTGAAATTTCCACACCACCAACCAAATTCTCGTTTAAACTGAAAAAAAGTTGAGACGCTGGATAATCATGCAGATCCTACACTCAAAACACGCAGTGTAAAATCAGACATTTAGATACGAGAACATAAACATATACAATTTGCACAATACACACCTCAATAATTTGAGAAGCAGTCTCAAACTTGTCACGGAACCCACCAGCCACTTCTCCAATAACCTTCAAAGGCAAGGTTTTTATTCAAAAAAAA